ACTTAGTGAGATAAGGTAACTATAGAATGCATACTTAGTGGCCTTGCTAAATTAATAAATTAATATGAATTAAAGGAGCACCTACTATAGTTATACTTCCAGAATAATCTTCCGCATCAAAAATTCTAAGGAAAAGTAACAATTACACACATAATCAATAAACTATTTTACCACACTTGTGACTATCATTCATAAGTCTCTCAGTACAATATCTTCATCATCATGATCACTAATACATTCACCCTAATTAAAAACATAGTTACAATCACATGTAGTGAACCACTTTTACGCCTGATTTCTTATCGTCTTCACTAGTGTCATGATTATTGCAGAAAGGTCTTCTGGCTCTGTTTCAATGCTTGGCTCAATACTAGAAAGTTAACGAAGAATCCATAATGAAAGGTATGCACTTCTAATTATAGTCAACTAAACTTAGTCATTAATCTCACAATAATAATTAGCCTAAATTTATTATAAGTTTGTTCATGCAGTTTATAACCCTTTGATAATTCCTCATAAACCCAGGTCTCTACTTTCGTATCATAGAGATTTTGTAGGCAAGATGTGGTAAACTTTAATTGGAAGGTGTCAGTCGTTTTATTTTCCAGTCATGTATCTGCTCAATTAATTTATTTAGCTTGATTGTGTATCTACATGTGTCTACTTTTTACTCAAAATATCATGTATCCTACTCATGTTTAAGTAAGGCCGCTCCAATCGAATTATTAGTTTCCCGTTTCCCGCCCGCACCCACCCGCATCATAACTTATTATTGTTATTATTTTGTCACGTGATTTGTAGCGCACATGTGCCAAGAAGAAGATGAGTTGTGTTGTTAACTGCTCTGTATTTTGCATCACAAAAAGCAAAACCATCTTTCCCTGGACTATACTAAAAGTCCCCGAGTGCGAGTTGTCGTTTGCAAGGTTCTTTGAAACGGAAATTGAGAGTAGAATCAGCGCAGCTCTACCACTCGAATTAATCTCGGCATGTGCAGGAAAAAGCAAAGACTCGATCGATGGATGAAGTCGACTTAATGCTACAGGTACCATCGGTTATATCATTATTCGGTCCATATATTAAGTACCGTACTGTATCAGTTGAAAATGAAGAGGTTATTGTTAGTGCTGCTGCATTGTCTCCTCGATCGTCACTGATCACTCAATCAACAAATCCTTCACAGCAAAATCCAAGAAACAATCACGTCATTGCTCATTATTTCCAAGATCACAACTTGTACTGGGACAGTGTACTCGATTACTTCAGCAACTAAACTTATTTCATGCCTATAACCGATGTTTTATGGTACATAAATGGACACCACGAGCAGTTCTCAAATATTCGACAGTTTTTTACTCAGTTTCAAGGCTATAACAAGCCTGAATTGATTTCATCTACTACTTAGGCTTTCTTATTAGGCTTTTTTGTTATTATTTTTGCTTTTTTAACTCTGATAAAAGTGATTAGTCTTTCAAAAAAATGTCAAATTCTCATTTTTGTGAAAAATAAAATTAAAATTCAATGATAATAATATAATAATAAGATAATAACTTGACCCGCCTCAGAAATAATATTATTCATAGTTTGAAATTGGAAACTAATAATCTAATTGGAGCGGCCTAATATACATATATAAATGGTTCAAAATAGCCTAAAAATAGTATAACATTTAATGTAGTCCACGGTACTCACATAACATCCAGTGATTTAGCCCTAGTGTATACAGCCAATGAGATTTCTCTTAAAGAGTCAGATTAAGATGATTTTCTTTAACAAATGTTGTCCGATAGTCCACGCGAGGCTGCCATCTTGAAAAGCATCGATCTGATCGAGGATCTGATCCAGTACTGATATACAGCCTGGACCAGTGCTGACGAACAGACATTACTGTATCAGCTATGACTACATCGGGACTGAAATAGATACTGGTCCAGGCCAGAGCAACAGCCTCGATTCAGCAGTGATGGCCGTCGATGCTGGACCGTTATAGAATCAAACCTGGTCCAGGCCTGATACCTATCATTCACGGATCATGCATGGTAACTCTTGGGTGTGTAGCAGCGCAGCCACACCTGCTACATAGATATTAGAGTAAAT